CTCAGTTTATCATTTATTTATATGACACCTATCATTTCTTGAGAGTAGTGGTGACTTATTTGAAGTAATCTGAACCAATTGCTAATTATATAATTTGGTTAACTGTTTAACCAGATATGTACTTAATGGCTAGAATCTGAATTAAAGGGATGCAGGCATCTTACGCAAACCGTGTTTGGAAAGCCAAACTTATACTGACAGGTGAAATCATTAAACAATTGGTTAGGAAGAACTATCAATAAACAGAACTGCTAGAGGAGGGGGAATAAACCACCTTTTGATCTGTTATATTCCTTAGACTTGATAAATACCTTTATTCCACATAATAGGCAACTTAATTATTTACTTTGGCATTTATTCTACTCAAATACCAACTAATTTAGTGCCAGATGAAATGTTTTCTTGTAATAAAATCAATTAAAAATTAATTGACGGGCTTCCCTGGTGGCGCAGTGGTTGAGAGTCCGCCTGCCAATGCAGGGGACGCGGGTTCGTGCCCCGGTCCGGGAAGATCCCACGTGCCGCGGAGCGGCTGGGCCCGTGGGCCATGGCCGCTGGGCCTGCGCGTCCGGAGCCTGTGCTCCGCAATGGGAGAGGCCACAGCAGTCAGAGGCCCGCGTACCGCCAAAAAAAAAAAAAAAAATTAATTGACTTTTCAAACAGACATTCATACAGGTATATTTTAGAAAATTCAGTTGTCATTTTTTCATGCTAAATTGATTACAAAAACAAATGAAATGTTGAGTTTTAAAAAAATGGATTAAACTTTGGTAGATGTCTGTTTTATTTGGCCAAGAAAGTAAAACTGGATTCAGTTCCATTTAAGAACCATTTATTAAATGTATGTGTGTAAAAAACAAAATGGTGGGAGATATGAAAGACATAAATGACTATAAAGCAAGGTGGAATGTGGTAAGAACTATAAAAGTAGAAAGGGACTTCCCTGGTGGTCCAGTGGTTAAGACTCTGCACTCCCACTGCAGGGGGCATGGGTTTCGACCCCTGGTTGGGGTTAGATCATGCTGTGCAGCTCGGCAAAAAAAAAAAAAAGAGATAAAAGTAGAAAGATGAACTCTGGGGAGGCACCATGGTGTTAAGTTTATTTATTTATTTATTTTAACTTTTTATCTTATATTGGACTACAGTTGATTAACGGTGTTGTGATAGTTTCAGGTGTACAGCAAAGTGGTTGTTATACATGTATCTTTTCTGTTTCAAATTATTTTCTCATTTAGTTGCATAATATTGAGAAGAGTTCCCTGTGCTATACAGTAGGTACTTTTTGGTTATCCATTTTAAATATAGCATTGTGTACATGACACCATGGTGTTAAGTTTAAAGCAGAGATATAGATGTGGAGGACCTGTGTCTAAATTCCTGTGCTCGTGTTCACTACCTGTGTGGGGGCAGGTTGGTCACTCTAGATCCGTTTTCTTGTTTGTAAATGAGGAGTGATAATAGTATCAACCTCAGGGATGTTGTAGGGATTAATGAGGTAACACATATGCAATACAGAGAGACAATTCTGAGAGGTTAAGTGATGCCTAAATTCTGTAAGTCTTACATTAAGTGATGGTGGTGGAGATGGCAGTGGAGATTGCATCTGTGACACCACTCACCCCAGAGAAGTTACTCTGTGTCTGAGAACTCAATTCCAATAGGAGCAGCTCCATACCAAGCCGCAGTTCATTCAACAGACATGTATTAAGCATCCACCAAAGCCAGAATTCTCCTAGACCCTAGGGAATGATGAATCAGAAATATCATTGCCTACCTGGCGGTCACAGCACCAAAGAGTGGTCAGAAAGACCACTTCAGGCTGAGGAACAGCCTGGGGAAAAATATAGTAGTAAGAACCAACACTGAAGTAGAAATTACTCAAATGTCCATTAACTGATGAATGAATAAACAAAATGGGGTATATATCCATACAACCGAATATTACTCAGCCACAGAAAGGAATGAAGTACTAATATGTGCTACAACACGTATGAACCTTAAAAACATGCTAAGTGAAAGAAGCCAGTTGCAGAATGCTACATATTGTATGATTTGATTTATATAAAATGTCTAGAATAGGCAAATCCATAGAATCAGAAAGTAGATTATGGGTGCTTAGGAATGAGGAGATGGGGGCATGAGGAGTGAATGGTAATGGGCCTGGGGGTTTCTTTTTATTTATTTATCTTATTTATTCATTTATTTATTTATTTTTGCGGTACGCGGGCCTCTCACTGTTGTGGCCTCTCCCGTGGCGGAGCACAGGCTCCGGACGCGCAGGCTCAGCGGCCATGGCTCACGGGTCCAGCCGCTCCACGGCGTGTGGGATCCTCCCGGACCGGGGCACGAACCCATGTCCCCTTCATTGGCAGGCGGACTCTCAACCACTGCGCCACCAGGGAAGCCCTGGGTTTTCTTTTTAGATGATGAAAATATTCTCAAATAGATTGTAGTGATGGTTGCAGAACTCTGAATATACCAAAAACCATTGAATTCTGTGCTTTAAATGAGTGAATTGTATGGTTTGTGAATTGTTTCAGTAACGCTGTTTAACAAAAAAGAAGCACCAGCAACGTATAGGTAGGGAACCCAGAGAAGTCATGATGTGGCTGAGGAACAGGTGTGCAGACAAAATGGCAAAGACAAGGTTGGAGGCTCAGGCAGGGTCAGTCTTGTGTGCCCTGTGAAGGAGCATTATCTTGTCAAGGAAGGAGGTCGGTGAGCGCTGTGAATGGTGCGGGCACCCTGGCACCTTAAGAGACTGCATGTGCCCACATGGTCTTCATCTATTTCCACACCTGTGAGAACAGTGATGACTGGAACGAGGGGAGCAGTAAAGGCTGGAGTTAGGAAGCCTGTTACTAGGCAGTGACAGGTGCCCAGGCAAGAGAAAGTAAGAGCTGAACCAAGGAGTAGGGATAGAAATATTTGGGAGCCGTGTAGGAAGGAACAATGATGTGAGGGATTGGTGAAGAAGGGAGGAAAGAATGACTCCCAGGATCCTAGCAAGGATGAAGGGGTATGTGTGATCGCCACCTGAGATGAAGAGAAACAGTTTTCACAGGAATGGTGAAAAATGTTATTCTTCTATTATGAACTGCAGGTTTGTGTCTCCCCAAAATTCATATCTTGGAACCCTAATCCCCAGTGTTGATGCCGAAAGCTCGGCCTCTGTCCACCGGCACCGAATCAAATCTCAGAGACAGAGTTTTGGGTGAAGTAGAAAAGAATAGCTTTATTGCTTTGCCAGGTGAAGGGGGACACAGTGAAAACTGTGTGTCCCCACCTGGGAGGATTTGATGCGGAGTTTTATAGCAGTAGTTCAAGGGTGGGGTTGCTGATAAGATCAGGGTGTGCAGGGCCTGTGCTCCTTTACTCTGATCTTGGTAATTTCTTGATGAGCTTCTCTGGTTCCTTTAATCTGGCCTCTGGTGGTTTTTTGGGTGCTCCTCCCTTGATTAGCATCTGTTCAGATCTGCCCTTTGGAACTCAGAGAAGGTCATGGAGGCTGGAGTCTGTTCCCTACAAACAAAAAAATGGGGGACAGAAAGGCATCTGTGCCCAGGAGCCCTACAGGGTCCTGCTTGGTTTCAATGTGATGCTATTAAGAGGTGGGGCCTTTGGGAGGTAAGTAGGGTTGCATGAGGTTGTGAGGGTGGAGCCCCCATGATGGGATTAATGCCCTTATAAGAAGAGACAGGAGAGAGCTGGCTTCCTCCTGTGTTGTCCCCCGCCTTCCATGTGATGAAACCAGGAAGAGGGTTCTCACCACAACCCAACCATGCCGGCACCCTGATCTCAGACTTCCAGCCTCCAGAACTGTGAGAAATAAAGTTTCTGTCATTTAAGCCACCCCATCTATGGTAATTTGTTATAGCAGCCCCAAATGACTAAAACACGCCTTAAAAACACCGTGACCTGAGCTGAGTTTCAGTGAAGTACAGAAGCCACATCTTGCTTGATGATGGACTGGAGCAGTTTCCACGCCTGTTCCACATATTGTGTATAGTTCACTACCTTCTCTCTGGAGCACTTTTTTCTAACTCTAGAGTGAGATTTTTTTTTTTCAACAAAAAGCTAAATAGTGATCAGGAAGACTTAAGGAATTATTGAGGTTCTCAATCCTTTCAAGTACTAGAGCACTGTTTTTTTTTTTTTTAAACTGCATTATTATTGGGAGAGGAGTACTTTTTTAAAAAGAAATCTTATCATACATCCCATTAAAAAAACAGGTAAAATTGGAGACTGTTTATATCCAAAGTCCTGGAAGATGGTTCTTCTTGTCACCACCGGGATGAAGGGATGAATGTGCTCCCTGGGGTGGGTCCAGGTTCTGTGGGATCTGACACTGATACCGTATTGAGGAGGGCGGGGTGAAAAAAGAATATGAAATTAAGACTACGTTTAGGTACAGGGCCTTGGAAGGGCCATCGTTAGCTTCATGGCAAGTCTTCCTCTGATCTTAATGGTGGTGGTGGTGGTGAAGGTGAGTATTAGCACATTGAGTGCCTATATGCCTGGCACCCATTCCAAGCGGTTTTCATATATTAATCCTCAGGACAACCTAAGGTGCAATACACCAAAGGTACAGAGAGGTCATGCCCAAGGTGACACGGCTGGGACATGGAGTTGCTAGGAGAGAAGAAGGGTAGACCAGTAAACTGGGAGCACAGACCTCCATCAGCCCCAGCTTTGCCACCTGTTAATGGGAAACCTGGAATACATCACTGAGCCTGCTGTGGATGCCCTTGATTTCACCTGTAAACAGGAACTTAGATGCCAGCTAGGAACCCCTCGTTTTGTTGTTCTGAGGTCGGTCAGGAGACATTGTGTGGAAGTGCTCCGTGGAGGGTGAAATGCTTGGAAATGTGTGCGATTAAATAGTTTTTCATTCTGACTCAGTATTATAGGTGAGGCTAGAAAATATATTTAATTTTGCTGACTTTTGTTTCACTTCTAATGTTTCTAATTTGTTTCTTGGACATGATTTTTTTTTCTAGGTTACTTGTCTGCAAGACTTTTTTGGTGACGATGATGTTTATATTGCATGTGGACCTGAAAAATTCCGTTACGCCCAAGATGACTTTGTCCTGGATCACAGTGGTAAGGCATTTCATTGACCATCTTTGTAACCCTGAAATGGAGGCTTGGGATTCTCACTTGGTGCATATTAAGTGGCCTGGTGTGTTGAAGAAAGATGGCATTGGCGATACTCTTTTTGAATTAATGAAAGTAGAAAATAACATGAAGGTATTTACCTAGTTGCAAAAAACAAAAAACCCTAATTCAAGTGAAATAGTTTTCATTTTTTAGCAAGTTGGTTCCATCTCTTTTTACTGCATTGTTTTGCCTCCGAAATGGATTTCCTACCTTCTTCCAGAATGGTGCCTGGCTATGCCACCTTAAATGTATGGATAGTGTTGAACCTGAAACAGTTCATTATACATTTTCCATGTCCATAAAGAGATACATAAAAGGATAGTAAGTTGTTAATAGTGATTATCTCAGGTTTCTTTTTATCTCATTGCTCTGTTCGAAACTTAAGAAAAAAAATAGCATGCATTGTTTATATATGCAGGAAAAATAAAGCTATTTTCATTGATGGGATAAGAAAATCCCTTTCTCTTAATTTTAGTCAAAAAATGGAGTTTTCAACTCTTTAGCAATAACCTCAGTGATTTCAGATGATTTTGATCCTGGGAATATTGTTCTAATCTGTTGTCTGGAACTAATTTAAACCTATTGCAGTATTAGTGATTATCTTAGCTGATAGTAAAGTCAACTTCATCTTTAAATGAGATAAAATCATACAGACATAACATTCCACAGAGAAGAGGGATGTTGGAGATTCAGTCCCACTCTTTAATTTCACGAATGAGGAAAGTTGGCTTTTCAAAAATTAAACTGGTGGTAAACCCTTTCCAGTTGTAGTGGTTCCGACAGTCCAAAATTACAGAAACATACTACCAAATAAATATGGCGACCCATAGACTTTTTAAAATTCAAGATGATACATTCTGTGGTATCAGACTTCCTTGTGTAATTCTTTCCTGTTACACTATGTCACTTACCTTGGGGCGATTTATCTACTTTGTGCTTGGGGCTCATTTATCTACTCTTATCACTTTTTTCCACTGCTGCCAAATTTCTTGGGGGTTTCTGTACTGTCTTATACTCTGTTGTAGTGGCCCTGCTTTAGATTTGTAATGCCACCAGAAAGTCCATAAAGAATTGCCAATGCTATCTATGTTAATGCTCTCCCCTGTTCTCACGGGTTGACTGAAAAACGTGCATTTACATATCATCTGTATTTTACATCTTTTTTTTTTTTTTTTTTTTTTTTTTTGCGGTACGCGGGCCTCTCACTGTTGTGACCTCTCCCGTTGTGGAGCACAGGCTCTGGACACGCAGGCCCAGCGGCCGCGGCTCACAGGCCCAGCCGATCCGCGGCATGTGGGATCTTCCCGGACCGGGGCACGAACCCATGTCCCCTGCATCGGCAGGCGGACTCTCAACCACTGCGCCACCAGGGAAGCCCCTACATCTTTTTTGACTGTAGCTTAATTTCATTTCATAATATTTCTTCGATGTCAATATGAGTCATTTTGAAAGCTGAGATGCTGAAACTCAATAATATTATACTCCAGGTTGTAAAGTTAATTTGGGTGGCAACAACAGCAATAAAACATTTATTGAGCACTTACTATATATGTACTAGGCATTGTCCTCAGGCCTTTACATGTATGTTGTAAATTTACCTAAGCTATTTGAATTGTTCATAGTTTTTTGTTGTTTTGGCTACCAAAGAACTCCAATAATTAGAAGTGGGTGAAAGCTACTGATTTCTTCCCTCTCAGTCCCTACTTAACCTTCTGCAAACTGGGAATAGTAAAAGTGGCTTTTTCATAAAATTTGATGAGGATTAAATGAGTTCATATGTGTAAAGCAGTTGGAAGTGTGCCCATTACACAGTATGTGCTATCCCTGTTGTTGCTGTTAATGTTATTATTATATCACCACCATTAGGTCATGAAATTTTATGATGAAAGCAAGTCTCAGACGTAATTCTGCCACAAGTGCATTTACTAGGAGTGATGCTGAAAACTCAGCCTCTGTGCACCGGTGCCAAATCAAATCATGGAGACAGAATTTTGGGTGAAGCAGAAAAGAACAGCTTTATTGCTTTGCCAGGCAGAGGGGGACACAGTGGGCTCCTTCCATGAAAAACTGTGTTGTCCCTACCCAGGGGGATTTGGTGAGGAGTTTTATAGCAATGGTTCAAGGGCAGGGTTGCTGATAAGGATCAGGGTGTTGCTGCAGGGTCTGCACTCCTTTAATGTGGTCTCACTAGTCTTCTGATGAATTTTTCTGGTTCCTTTAATCTGGCCTCAGGTGGTTTTCTCTGGAATGAAGATTGCTGACTTCTTCCATTTATTGAGGGTTTTAGTTCTGTAAAGAGCTCAAAGATAATGTTATGTGTATCCCTTGAGGGGGAACCAGGACCTGCCCCAAGGCTGCACTATTGTTTCTTGGCTGCTCCTCCCTTGTTTCTGCATCCCCTCCCTTCCCTGATTAGCAATTGTTTGAACCTGCCCTGTTGGAACTTAGGGGAAGTCATGGAAGCTGGAGTCTATTCCCTCCAAGAAATGGGGAACATATCTCTGGATATATGTATATGTATGGCTGATTCGCTTTGTTACAAAGCAGAAGCTAACACACCATTGTGGGGCAATTATACTCCAATAAAGACGGAAAGAAAGAAAAAGAGAGAGAAGAGAGAGAGAGAGGGAAGGAAGGAAGGAAGGAAGGAAAGAAGGAAGAAAGAAAAAGAAAGAAAGAAAGGAAGGAGGGAGGGAGGTGGGGGAGGGAGGGAGAGAGGGAAAGAAAGAAAAGAAAGAAACGGGAAACACAGAAAGGCTTCTGTGCCCAGGAGCCCCACAGGGTCCTGGTAGGGTTCAGGAGGCAAAGATTTTTTTAAAAAAAAATCAGTTATTTAACTTGTGTTGTAATCTTTTTTTTTTTTTTTTAACATCTTTATTGGGGTATAATTGCTTTACAATGGTGTATTAGTTTCTGCTTTATAACAGAGTGAATCAGTTATACATATACATATGTTCCCATATCTCTTCCCTCTTTGTCTCCCT